AAGAATAGCTGGTCAGGCATTACTCGCCCGAAAAAAAAGAAAATGACGAAAACTTACCAGGTTAAAGTCACACAGAAGTCTGGAGAACTGCCACAGGTAATAGACGAAACCCCAACCCAGAGGAAAGTGCAATATGATGACAATAGTGGGAGATAAATGTACTGGGAGTGGTCCACATGCTGGATTGTAAAATCTCCTCCATTAGACTACAAAGATGAGAAGCGAGGGAAAAGGTGAGATGTCGGATCTGATAGGAAGAAACATGGAACAAGGTACGGGAGGTAGAAAGCATGGAAGGGTAGGCCAAACGAACCAAAATGTAGACCTAATTCATAAGGGTAGAAGGTGAAAGATCATGATGTGAGGTGGATTGCTAAGGGATAAAAAGTCGGTGGTGCGTACCCTGAAAAGTAGCAGTACATGATATATAACAACAAAGGGCCCTGACTGGACACAGAAGCCTATCCAGATCTGTTACAGGGTAAAAATGGGATATAGAAGGAAGAGAAATAGGAGGAAAGGATGAACAATCCTCCTGAGCTGCTGAGGTCTTAGGAAGAAAGGAACAATTGGGACAAAGGAGAAGATAGGTAGGGTGATAAAGGGTACATGGGACAAATGAAACAAGGAGCACAACGAAAGTGGTTCAAACAGAGGTAAAGTGAGAGCATGGAGGACCACATTAATGTCCCAATCTGGAAGGGTAGGACAAATTGGAGGCTTCCGAATCTGGAAGGAATACACGAACATGGTAAGAACAGGGGGAGTGAAAACCCTAGAGTATCAAGAAAAATGGAAGGTATAGGATAGGGCCACACAATATCCGGAAAACTAGGAGAATGAAGACCCATGGTTGAAGAGCCAGTTGAGAAATTCTGTCAAATGAGCCACAGAAGGTTTGTTAGCATGAAATCCCCTGTTAGCAGCCCAAAAGTGGAAGACTTTCCACTTATGTTGGAATACTTCCATGGAAGAGGGCCATAAGGAACTAGCTAATAAGGAGGCAACTTGACATGTGAAACCAGATTGTCTCACCAAGGATTGGTCAAAAGCGAGGTGTGAAGATGCAGGACAGGGAGACTGGGATGTAGAATGTGGGATCAAGGATGTCGAAGAAGGGAGTGAAAGAGGGACAGGTGATGATAGTAGCAGACACTGAAACCTTGGAAACCTGGATGCAGTACAGGTGACAAGAGTGGGGGAACTTGCTATTGAGGTCTGTGGCAAAAGAATCCAATTGGGGAGAATGGCAAAGGTCCCTGAAAACAAGAGGATCTAATGCCCACTCCATTGGATAGATCCAGTCTGGGTGCAAAAGACAACCTGTGACTAAATTGAAAGCACCTGGCACTTGACTTGTGATAAGATGAATGTAATGTGTGTGAGTCCAGTATAATAGATCCAATGTCCAAGAAATAATCTCTGGTCTGGGGGTTTAGGTGCCCCCTTGGAGGTTGATATGTGCCACCATCATAGAGTTGTCCAAACGAACAATCACCAGACAATGATGGACAAGAAGGAAGTGATGTAATGCCTGACATACTGCTAGAAGTTCAAGAACACTGATATGCAAGATAATTTCATCCACAGACAAATGGCCTAAAGTTTCCTGGTGATTGACCCATGCCCTCCACTCTTGAAGGGATGCATCAATGAAAAAGATGTAGATCCAGATGCAGAGGAGGAAGCGGCACATCCTCCAACATATGGGCTTAGTCCAGCCATCATTGCAGATCATCTTGCAGGAAGGGAAATGGTAGTGGAAAGAGCATCCTGAGCAATGTTTCATCAATCGTGAATCGCCCACTGAAGGTATCTCATAGGGGTATGACCAAGAGGGACCAGTGCAGTCATGGAGGACCACATCTCCAAAAGAGATAGAACCTTGTGAGCAGTAAGTGATTGAGCCGAGAGGGCATGATGAACTAAAAGTTCCATGGAATGAAGACGTAAAGGAGAAGCCAAAGCACAACTGATATTGGTGTCGAAAAAGACCCACAAATGGACGAGATATGAAGTGGGTTGAAGGAATGACTTCTCCAATTTGATCAACCAGCCCAAGCAAGATGCCACAGGAAGGAGTTGGTAAGTATGAGTGGCGGATTCCTGCTCGGAATGTGCCAGAAGGAGCCAGTGGTCCATGTAATAATGAAATTGCATTCATAAAACATGAGGATTATGAGCAAAAGCCCAGAATATGCGATGAAACACAAGGGACTGAGGCAAGTCAGAAGGGGAGGGCTCAAAATTGGTAAACCAACCCAAGATGGACACACTAAAGATAAGGCAGAGACAGATGTGCTATTGGAATGTGGAGGTAAGCGCTGGAAACATCCATTTTCGTCATCCACAACCCTGGGGAGAATGCCCATCTCAGGGTGAGAAAAGACTCCAAGACTTGGGGAGTGTGATGAAGCAGTTGAGGTGAGATAAACTGATGACTGGCCACCAATCCCAGTTTTCTTGGGGACAACAAAAAAGATGAGAATAAAAACCCCTGGAAGGAAGGTAGACTGGTTTGATTGCTTGCTGCAAAAGCAAATCTCAAACCATCTCTGACATATTCTGGCAGGTCACAAGATCTCAAGGAGGAGGAAAGGAAATGGGGAAAAGAGAAACAGGAGGTGGGGAAAGAAACTGGCTAACGAATCCTTCTGACAGAACTTGTATCATTCTTTGATCATCAATGAACGGATGCTAGTGAAGGAGAAAATCCAACAGCTGAGCTCCCACCAGACCCAAAGCCACAGGGTAATCACTGGTACAGGTAGCAACAGATGTTACATTGTCGAGGAAATCCACGAAAAGAAATACCCTAATTGGAAGGAATGGGTAAGGGTTGGGATGATGAAGGATGGGAAATGGGAATAAATGGCATATGAGGCTTGACTGAGACAAATGGGCTACAAAAGGTTGTAAGGGTGGATTGCTGGCGAGCAGAAGACAACTGAGGCTTGATAGTTTCTGGGATTGTATCAAAGAGATAACATCTCAGAAAAGGTGCAAGACACAAGTCTCTGAGATATGTTGAGAGTAAATTGACCTGAGCAAATGCTGTGTCCATACCTATAAGGTCTGAACAACAAAGAAACCACATATGTAATGTGGGCTAATGTGAAGGAAAGAAGGTGAAGAGTATCTGTAAAAACCCCTCAGGATTTCTGTTGAGAGCCTTCAATAGGAGACGTATGGAATAAAGAAAGCGTAGAAGGTTAGTTTGGATAAAACGAAGGCAAGAATATTGGGCATGGGTAAGACTAACATTAGATTCAGGAGCAATGAACCCAACAACTGTCGATTCACAAATGGATAGTCTGCATGATAATAAGAAAGTGCATACTGATCAGAAGTCCTCATGCTGATCCCCTCACTTAATTGTGAAACAAATTGATCCACATGTACCCAAATATCAGGAGGGAGGAAACATCAAAAATGGTTGAGAAGATAGGGGGAAAGGGATAAAATATCACAAACCTGAGACATAAACTCCGCAAAAACTGAATTGGGCCTAGGTCATTCCATAGGTTGCAATTCAGCAATTTCAGCCGACTCAGGAGGAGCCTAAGCAATGTCATGGGACAATTTAACCCATGTAGCATTCAATCTCCCAACATATAAAAGCAGAGAGATCCACCGTCGAGTCACCTGCACCTGAGGCCTGAGAAAAAAATACTGGTCATTGGTGTGACCCCCCAGAGTGGTAAAGTGATCTTC